TAGTATAATTCATGAACTTTATTAAACATGTTATTAGTTAATTATGAGAAAATGAGCTAGTACATATACCTTGATATTACCGATCAACATGGTAACTAGAAGCAGACCACTTGTTAGAACAATTATATTGAAGACAACCTCCGACCACTCTGTTGTGCTCTCCAGATTCCCAAAGGTGCTGACCAATTATTGATACAAAAATCATAAACCTTTTTAAACTCATATTTAATTAATAATACCTTTTATACATTCAAGTTATTGGCAATATATACCTAAGAAAAAGGTTATGTAAATGAACTAAAGCAAATTTTATCCGATTCAATTTGGTTAGATTTTTCATCTATGATGAGTTAAATAATTAAACCAGTTAGGATGTGAAAATACCTAAGAGTCATGAGACCCCAAAAGATAGGGAAAAGGATTTTCTCCAACCGGCTTTCATTGCTTACAAGTTGAATGGTCCATTGATAAGCACCATATGTGTAGTTGGTGTTGATATCCAAACAAATGGATCGGGCTTGATGGTTTTGTGCCCAAGCCAGTCTAGCCCTGTCAAGGACCATCTCGGTAGTGCCATAGTACACTGGTTCCTTACATGACAACATCCTTAGGTCGCATCCCATTGCGTTTTCACATTGTTCTTTAAGACATTTTGCTGATCTTTGGACCCCTAACAAGTACCAACATGCTCCTGCTGCCTGTATATCATAAGCACAAGTGTTACATTATGATTGTAAATAGTAAAAACAGTTTTTTGGTAGATTAAAGGATTTTTGTGATTATTCATATATAATTGATTGCAATTTTGATCAGGTTTGGGAATGTTGGAAGATCTTAGAAATTCTTGTACGATGTTAGTTAAAGTTGATGAGTCATTGAATGACATATAAATAGTGAAAACGTGAAATAGAACTTTGAAAAAAAAAGAAAAAAATAAGCTAATGATTGAATAATTTATAATTCTAAACAAGACTTTCTTAGTTAATCATACGTATTGATAAAATAATTTGATTGCGACTTGTGTGATTGAAATAATCATACCTTCCTCCCAACAAATCTTTTCTTATTTTGGCATTTTGTGATTTATTTTACTATCAAAAGAAGACTCCCGCAGCAATGGAAAAGGTCCATGTGAAAATATTTTAGGTACAAATGTCTTAAATAATCTTACAACCAAAACAATATAAATATAGTTACTTGGCACCTGAAAATCACTACTTTTTCCATAGATTAGTGATTTTTAGGGAAAATTTACACACTAAATATATGATTTTTTTATCAACATATGAAATATGGTATCATCTATTAATTAATACACAGTGAACACAAAGCATGTATTTTCTAACCATTGCTCAAATTGATTACAGATTCACTGACTCGCATAGAGAGACTATCACAGATTTACAATTCACAACTAGGCTTAAACTAGTTAAATTTTGTATCCTAATATCAGTGAAATTTTAGTCCGCAACGAAATCTTAAATTTACATATACTAAGAAATAAGAAACATTTCATCCAGAAACTTACATGAGCCGCGACAAAATATGCCATCATGTTGAGTGCGATTCCCCACCAGACCGTGCCGAAAATGTAACCGGATAGGGTAGCATTCTCGCGTAGATGGCGAACGGAGTGATATATCTTTGGTATATATTGGAAGAGGAACACTATAAGCAAAACTGAAACCACTAAAGTCACAGAACCTCTCTTTAGAAGTGAAGGTATCACCACCCACAACACCACCTGCTCTCATTTTTTCATATAATTTCTCAATTAAATTATTATTATATAACAAGAAAACAAAAATGTACTAGACGAAAATAAAATTAAAAAATGAATGAACTGTATTATTTTTGGTCCACCATACACGAACATGATTAGGTAAGATTAAGTGATAGTTATTTCGGTCAATTTTAGTTCAATGCTAGATTTGATTACTATGATTGTGCCTTGAAACCAGTGTTAGTAATTGTCCCTATTATAAACTCACAACAAATCTCACATAATTTAGAAGTATTATGTAAAGTTAGTTACTATGTATAGTAATCTTTTCAGCGATTACATGTGTTCATATAAAATTAAATATCTGCCTCGACTATTCAACGAAACCTTCTCCGTACAACTACTTGATTTCATACTAATCATACTAATAAACTAGTGCATATTAAAGTAAGAGATTGCGTCCAAAACTTAACTTAATTTTTTTTTTATATAAAACATGTTGATGAAAACGTAATAATCTTCCACGATTTATGAGTTTCTTCGCGATTCCACGGTAATTGTGTAGTTTAGAGGAAAACAAAAATAGAAGTTGACAAGAATTTTTGTTTCAATTATTTCAGACATTACATCTAATAATTCTAGTTGTTAATGCATCTTATCTATACACAACAATCTAAATTTTTTAAACTAACCTTTTTTTTTATAAAACCAACAATTAAACATTTGTAAAACCAACAATTAGTTTTTTTTCTTATAAAACCAATAACTAAACATTTGTTAAACCAATAATTAGGTTTACTAACCTGAGGTAATGGTAAAATGACGAACAGATCGAAGAAGAAGCCTTTCTTGATCTTAACGTACGATGGAGCAGCAACACGCCTGAAGCTCGTACCACCTCCTTTGTTGACATCGCCGTCGCTATCTCCCCCGTCTCCGGCGGGATAAGGCCACCGGCGAGAAATCTTGAACTGAAGCCAAATGTTCCAAAGATGCAAGAGATCGGTCATGGAGCGTAAGGCAGTGACGGAGAGAGAGAGCCAACCATCAACGAGGAGACACATACACATGTCGTTCACCGATAGGGTGTAGAGAAAAAGTGGGTCCACGAAGAGACCCGTCGCGCACACAAGGAGAAAGACTCGGTTCCATTCTTGAACCCATTTGGATCTCGGGTCAAGTATTCGACCCAACATCAACCATTTGTAGTTATTACTTGACCCGTTTCTTCTTCTTCCTCCGCACGTGAACCCAACGTGTGGCC